TTCCTGCTGCATTTGCTGCCCAAGGCCAAGCTCACGGCAACAAGCTGGTGCCTTTCATTGGATACCCTGGGGTTGCCATGTGGCAGTTCATGCCACCTGCCTCAGTGGATACTTCGCAGGATCATGTACTCCGCCCACCAGTTGCTTAAGTTGGCAGATCTAAGATGATTCGGGTGATTTGGGATAACATTTTGTCCCCAACAAGTTTATTGTCCCGTCATTGCTCTTGTATTTTTCCTTTTATTGTCTACTAACTGAATTTGGTGGGTGATTTAACTGTGTTTGCAACTGTAATTGCAACCTGGGTACTTTTATGAATTAATGATGGTATTCTCATGTAAATGGTATTAACTACTATTAAGTGAATGTGGCAACTCCTCGTTACCAATTTCTTCGGGAGTTGGGCTGACATCACCCCAACTCAGGTATATAGCTTTGTGGGGTTGGGAATTTGTAGTTGTATTCTGGAAAATTGAGCACTTTGTGGGTTTTGGATGTAGGTAACTTTTCAGCCGTGCGCTTTGTGGATTTGTAAAAGATAAAATGGGTTTGCTTGGAATTTTGCAGCTCCACGAACGGTATATAAGCATGTTTAAGTTGTTATGCATGGTAAAAGGAAAATGGAGTCATTCTCTGAGGACCCCAGGCAGATAAAATCTGTGCGATGGTGTTCAGCTGTGTGTAGAAAAAGAAACTAGAAAAGATGGAAGTAACAAATAATTGCATCATAAAAGGTGAAAGTGACAAAAGGTTGAACTGCTTTTATAAAGCTCTTGCAACTAGCAAGCCAAAAACCTTATCTTAGTGCGCCTGGCAACTACTTGTTTCTCTCCCAGACTCGGCTGTAACTCTGTTAAAGACTCGAAATGGCTTCCAATCTTCTCAGGGTTCATACAAAAACCATTAAAACTGCAGAGCAACCAAACCAATTTCCACTCACTAAAACTCTCTCTGTCCCTTCTCTTCCATTTCCCACACACCACCACCACCACCACCAACATATCTCCTTGCCTCCAATTTTCCTCCACAAATCCAAAATTACTCCTTTATCCCCACTCTGCTCCTTATCTTCTCCCACCCCTCCAAGCTCAAAAGAAGCAGCCATTCAACAAGCCAAAACCTGTCTCTCAACCACATTGGAAAAGCCCCTCAACAACCTCAGACTTACCAACAAGCTCAAGAAGCTCAAGCAGCCCAGATTTCGTATCGAAATCCCGGTCATCGATGACTCTCCTGAATCCCTATCTCAGCTCGCTTTCCAGGTATTTCGAGACCTACCCATTAAAAGAAAAGGGTCCAAAGTTAACATCTTGATCATATGGCCTAACCTTGCCTACACAGAAGCTGCATTGAAAGCCTTCGAGTCTAACCCTTCAAGCCCAGTTGAAAATTTAGACATATATTCGATCACCAACGGTAATACCAGAATTTCGAGCTCTGCTGACGTGGCAGTGTTTGTGGCGCCAGAGGGAACCCAACTGGCTGATATGAAAAGTGTTGCTGATTTATTGTACCCAAGGCCAGTGGTTATTTTCAACCCCAAGTGGGTGTTTGAGGATGAAGCTGAGTTTGGTGAGCTGAGTGGCTTTGTGGGTTCATTTGAGGTCATTTTTTCATTTATGGGTTTGGAGGTTCAGGGGCTTTTGAGCAAAAGAAATGGAGTGATTTTCAAGTGTGTGAGAGATGGCGTTGTCAGCGGTGAGAAGTGGGCTGTTCTTGTTGAAGAGGAAGGGCAATTGAAACCGGTTTCAACGTTCAAATCGCGGCCATCAATCAGTGAAGTTGAGAATGTTTTGTATAATTTGATGGCAATTAATTCCCCTGTTACGAAGTCCGTGAAGTTCTTCAGGGATTTGGTGTCTAATGTAACCGGGAAGAAGTAAGTTTCGTTCGAATGCCTGTCTTGTATAATCTGTGATTGACGATTCTCTGCATAAAGTTTTGAAATTTTAGAAGCTGTTTGTTGAATTGTTTGAATGAATGCAATTGCACTCTTACGCTGCAGCAATATTTTGTTGAGTACTAAAATTTGAATGTTGTTTATTGCTTCATGATACCGTGTTGCAGTATATGTTAGCTTATTTGTCTTTCTTTTTTTCATTTGGGATTAGATTGAGTATATGATTAGACATGTTTTTTTACCAGTTTGAGAGTGATCTAGGACTGGTTGTAGAAGGGAGAGATAGTCTTATAATGCAATTTCCTTTGCTGTCCATCCTCATTGAAAATTCCAGAGTCATTAATGGTCGAACTAGTTATGATTTGTATGGATTTAGCAGTCAGTAGGAAAAACCGAATCTTGATGCTGTCCTCCCTGCCACCATTTCATGATGGCATTTGTCAGTGCACCATGGTTTCAATTTAAAGAGGTTGTTGCATGTAGTCAAGCAATTCGCAGTGTCGATGTATTTCCGACCTTTTCAGTGGTCTTTCTAACAGTTGGTGCCATAGTTTTACCTCTCTTCTTTTAATGTATCCTATCATCTGTCAGCTTGCAGTTCTCTTTGAGTCTTAAAAGTGTGTGGTCTTGCATTTTATTGCATGTACTGCATACTAACATCTTGTTATTAAACAAAAATTTATGGTTGCAAGATCTAATTGGTAAAACAAGGGTAAAAAAATACAGAGACCGGTTAAGGAATTTCCACTGAGGAAAGAGAGTTCTGCAATTCAGAAGCCTGGTGCTGTTTTTATCTTGCATTCAGTGTTGAAAGGCTTGAATTTGGGAGAACTCTCTAATTTTCCTTTTCCTCATATACAGTAAACTCTTTCTCATCAACGCTGTTGACATATGCCTCTGAAAACCCAACCTAGGATGCCCTTATATGACAGCTCTTGATGAATTTATCTGAGAAGTCGACATATTTTGCCCAAAATGGCCGAAGTTTCGGAAAAGCAATCTCTAGCCAAGGCTTTGCTCTCCCATTGAAATGGATGACACCAGCACTCTTAACATCAGCAGAACTTGTGTTTTCCTGATATCCCAGTCCCAGCATGTGCCAAAACGGATCAATAACATGGACATGGCCGTGGAATGCTATTAGGCCGGGGGGTAATGTTCCTAGCTGCCACAGGCTCAGGTCTGATTTCAAGTTCTGCATAAAGATAATATTAGGATAAATTGGAATATGATAACATATTTTCCATGACATTCTTCTAGGGAAAGTTTAGAATATATAAAGGTGGAGTCATTCTATATTGAAGGCCTTATATACGGCCCTTATGTGAGGTCCTATCTCTTAACTGTTGGATCAGGTTAACCAATTTGACCTAATGACTAACCAATTTGATCAAATGGTTAAGAGATAGGACCTCACTTAAGGGCCATATATAAGGCCCTCACTATAGAATTCTTGTATAAAGGTGACCTCATACCTGTTCAAGCCAATAGTGGTATGTAAGGCTTATGTTGGTTTTCCTCCAAGCGTCTAGATCAAAGATGTTCATGCCATAAGCCCATGCACATGAATTGGGATTGAAATTGTTCGATATCAAAGGATGAGAGAAGTTCAGATAACTCTTGAGCCGCTTTGACATCACAAAGTTATCTTCTCCCCTGCATGTTTCAACTGCTCCGTTGACCTTTCCATTCATATCGATATCCCATAACGGTGAAAGATCCGTTTGAACTACTATATCGTCATCCAAGAACACTACCTTATCGAGACTAGGAAACATCTGCATTGAGATTAAGCAGAGATTAGCACAAATGCACAGAAAAACACAATGACTTCCGGAGCAATTAGGCTAAGCAAAATAGGTTTACGGAAGAATTATAAGTTCTCTTAAATGCTATTGAACCATAGTTAAGCATGCTACCTCTGGTAGATGTATTCTGATATGGTTCATCACTGAGTTGTACTTGGGACTAAGTGCCTGCAACTTTGCTGCAATGACATTAGGCTTATCTGTATTGTTTGCCACAATGGCTGATGACCCTCCTCTAAACTGCGATCTCACTTTTTGGTCTTTCTCCATTGCTTCCAACACTGGCACCTTCCCCTTTGTAAACCAATCAAAATGGTGCAATGCCTTGACCTCAATTATAGCAGGCGATAAGGGATGCAAAGAAAACCATGCTTGCATGGGATAATATGTCTTCCTGTCTGTAATTATGTGAAGGACAACTTTGTGAGGGCGCAATGAGTTACGGACAAGCGAAGTGGCAACGACAGAGGCGGCGAGCACGTTATCTGAGGCGAGGACAAAATGGAAGTAGGAGTTGTCAACAAGGGCGGGGACGAGTTCAGCGGAAGGGAGCTGGAGGCGAGCAGCTGCGTTGGAGGCATGCTCATTGGCTAACCTCAAGGCTAGGCAGTGAAGCTGTTTAGGTATGCTGCTTGATGCTACATGCCGGTACAAGTACTCTTGGATTTTGGCATTTCTTGTTCTCTGCTCAAGAAGTGTGACCTGAAATATGCACATTGTCTCATAACTCAAAATACTCTTGCACCAAATAATACTGTTCTTATCAGTTTTGTTCACCAAAAGTGTGATAGTGTTTTGTAATCCATTATTTTCAAGTAAGATATCGATGTAGATGACACATCATTTGGTGAACAAATTTGGTAATTCTAGTTTAGAGGTGGCAATATCACTGACACATTAATTAGTTTTCAATGTGAAAAAAAAAAAAAAAAAAAAAAAACTGAAAAGCAATACCATATCTCTGAGCTTGACAGCAAAGGTCCTTGCGTCTGATTTGCCTTCCTTTATCTCAGCCATAAATTCGTCCAAGGACTGAGGAATATCAGATCTTCCTTGTAATTCATCTTTGCCGATGGGTTCTTCTAATATTTGGTATATCACTTCTGGGACCTTTCAGAAATTAATAAGAACTCCAATTAGGGCACAAAATTTGCTTGAGTACCCCACATTGTTGTCGGAAAAAAAAAGACATCAAGTAATTAAATAATATCTTCAAACAGAAGTAGGGATTAGGAGATTACAGTAGAGTCAAGCCTTCTTCCCAAAATCTTCGGTCCTAGTCTTTTCCCCAAGCAACCTACCATTAAAACAAATATTAGGACTTTTATTTTATTTTATCAAGAACAAATATTAGGACTTACAAATAACAATAATAATTTATAATGTGTTTGATTAAATTTATTCATATAATTATTTTTACTATTATTCCTTTTTCATCTTTGTCACTCTTAGGTCCCTTTTGTTTACTAGCACATTAAAATTTAATACGTCACAAATTTTCCAGAAATTTTTTAATAAATAAAAAAAAATGTAAATTATACCTGAATTATTAAGTAAAATTATTAAATAAATAAAAATTTAAAAAGGAGCAAGGCCACATCGAGCAAATTTACTCACTTCAAACCAGTATTATTGCTATAAAATAGATAGAAAAGACACTTGCTACCATGAAAAAAAGAAAGAAAAGACACTTCAAATCAGCATTATTGTTATTAATTACAAGAAAAATTAAATCAGAAGGAAAGCCTACATCGAGTGACTCATACTTTATATTAATAAAGGTCAGTTTTATATTAATAAATGTGAATTATATATTTCATTCTCAAGCAATAATTTTTTTTAGTAGAAAATATGAAATTGAAAAAAATCAACCAAGATACTGTTTTCCTAATTTTTTTTAAATTATCTGATAAATATTTTTATGTTTATGTAAGTCACTATAAAAATTTATGTTTTCTAAACCACCAAAGTTATAAATTTAAAAAGAAAAAAGAAAAAAGAAAAAAGCAAGTGCAGGTTGTGCTGTGCTATTCATGTGATGCTTCAGATTTAGAGGCTTCAGAAATGGAATTAGTGTGGGATAATTCATGATGTTGCACCAAACACCTTTATCAAATTATCATATCCTGAAAGGAGCTTTGAGCCTTTTGACAATTTAAATAATTAGGGGTGCTTATGTAAATGCAGCTACTACCACATATTTCACATAACTACCAACTTTTAGTTCATTGGATTTCACATGAATTTGGATCCCATAAATGAATAAAATATAAAATTAAAAGAAAAGGTAAATGTTATTATAGTGGTTAGAATCTTTTTTATCAGACTAAATTTTCCTAAAATGATCTTATCCAATGGTCGATCATCAAGTTTAATATATTAATACTAGCCTGCAATTGATTTCATCGAGACAGAAAAGACATGCTTTGTTATGAACCCTAGATACTAACTAAGATGAATTAAAGATAAGTCCCACATGTATATCTTAATGCTTACAATTCTTGTTCTTTTCCTTTTTTTTATTTTATATATTTTTATAAAGAATTATTGTTTTATCTTCAAGATTATCATCGGTTTTTAAGATATTTACATTGCATAAAACATAACGTAATATTTTTGTTGGGATATCTAATATGTTATGTTGTTAGATTATCAATTTGAATCGTAAATTTAAATAAGAACTCGCAGATAAATAATGCATATTATGATATTTGAATTTGAAGGTTTGTTAGCTTTTCTGGGAGAAACACATGCATTCTTCTGGAGCCCTGAAACCAATGCTGCTACATATTCTTTAATAGCATAGCTAGAATAATATTGGGGTTGAATGAAAGTACATACCTATTGTGGAGCACTTGCGTTCTCCGTCAATGGTGTCCACTGCTGTCATAACAAACACAAACCTGAGAAGAAATGTGAAGAAGAGAATGGAGTAGAAGAGCATCCGGTACGAAAGCCGCCTCGACCCAACTTTCACTTTGATGAATTCTCTAACTCCCTTCCCTGGAAACACAGTCACATGCCTCAAGCTGGGTGATATGTGAAGCTGCATTTTGTGTTTTGTTCAAGACACCCACAGACACAAAAATCCAAACCCAGGCAAAGTATGTTGTTATTTTCTGCGGCAATTCAAATCACCAAAACAAGGACAGACTAGAATTGCAAGAACCCATGAAGGAGGAGTATGCTGTAAAAGGAAGGTTTTGATGGGGGCTTAAGGTAGCTATCTGTTACCTAACCTTGCTTAGTTTTTGGGCTATGGAGATATCAGGGTTTTGGGAGTATATTTTAATGTAGAGAGTTGAAGGGGGTTGTTAAGGAGAAAGAGACATGGGACTGATGTTTTTGCTTTTTCTGGTTTGGGATTTGGCTTGGTTTTGAAGGAGGGAAGTTAAGGGGGAAATGAGATAAAATGAAAAAGAATTATAATATATAATATTCAATTTGAGAAGAAGAAGATGGTAGTTTGGTGTTTGCTTGGCTTTGCATCCACATGAGGTTCTTAGCAGCAACTCAAAAACCTTGGACTATGGAGTCTTTGACAGAACAGGGCTTCTAAATGGATAATGACTGTTCCTCTCTCTATCTCTATGGGGTGGGTTTTGGTTGTTGGAGTGAAAATGCAGCAACATCTGATTCTATTTTTTTATTTTTTATTTCTAACAAACTGTAAATTGTCATGGCCTGCTTGGTATATTTTTTTTTCCTATTTGTCATGGTTTGACTCCCATAAAATATTGTATTTTACTAAAAGGAAAGGGAAATAGGACCTTTCATTGCTACAATTATAAATGGTATTTATTATTTCCTTTCACAAAGACTATGCACAGTTTTGGGGTTGGAATTTGGTGTATCTTGTTTTGACAGAATTGAAATGACCACTTCCCTTTGAATCATGAAAGTAATTTATTCTCCTTTGACCAAAAACCAAATCTACTTTCTTTTTTCTTCTTTTTCTTCTTCTTTTGTCCTATGGGGCAGCCCAAATGAACATACAACCCAACCAGGGATAACCTTGGGCTGAGGAACTCTATCTTGTAGAGAGACACCCAAACATTATCCTTTAGACACCCATACTCAAATTTTAAAATCAAAAAATTTCTCATCTCCTAACCCAAGTGCTTTAACCCCCCTCCACCTCTAACTTGAATCACATAAGAATTGCATAGACTGTCTTTCTTAGTAAATGTAGTAACAAACTATTCTCCACAATGATTTTGAAGAGAAAATTTAAGGCTTTTGCGTTATTAAAAACAATATTTGGTTTTGATAAAAATACGAGTTAGTGTTTTGTCATCTAAAGGGGATGTGTCAAAGGTTGCTCCTAGTGAGTCCCAAGTTGGGCTGTCTGTCTGTATTGGTCTAGTCCCAAGCAACTTTACTTAATTCCACATGCTTCTGCCATGTCTGAGAATTGAGAGATCATCCATCAGTAAATTCTCATCATACTCGAAGAAGTTGACAGTACGTCTATCAGGAAAAAGAACAAGGACAAAAGCCAAAGGAATTCAGTAGTGGTCACAGAAAGCGAAAGGAAGCCTGCTTCTGGCTGCTCTGTGTTGTTTGGGGATGCAAACAACCTGTTGTTTAATTGCAAAGCAAAGTACATGTGTAGTTTTGCTGATAATCGTGTTTAGAGTGTGCTTATGTATCATAGAGGATTGAATTTTATGTTCTAGAAATTGACTCTGTTAATGATACCTTGTTTTATTCTGGTGATCCTCTAATTGTTAGAAATTTTATATATTTTCCATTTTGAGCTTTGTCCGATTATTGGGTGTTGAAGAATATGAAGTTCACATCGAAAACTTGACAAAATAAAATACAACATATAGTGAATGGTTCAACTACTAATAGCATAAGGCCTTTTTGCATAAAACCCCACACCTTCGAGTACACAGGTGGATTGGACATGGGCATTGTCCTGGTTAATTATTAAGAGGATCAAAGATACCCTTCACATATTGGAGTGGAAAACTAAGAAATTTTTAAATGACACCTTCCTCGTATTTGCAATTTTATGTTAGAATTTAAATGTTAAAATATTAAAAAAATCATTTTCCTACTCTTGTTCTTGTTTTCCTCCTTTCCTCTAGCTCTCCATTGGTCCATCGATAATTTTCATTCTCTTTACTTTGCTCATGTATTTCTAAGAGCATCTACAATCATTATCTCTATTTTTTTAGTTAAAATTTAACTAAAAACACAAAAAAGTTATTTTAGGAACTCTCTACAAAATTTTAACTATAATCATATACTTCATAGTTTGAGGAGTCATAAATACTATAGTTATTTTTTTAATTCAATATAATGGTCAATCTCTATAAGAAGTAATAAAAAAAGTAGTTAGTATTAATTAAAAGTTTAAACTATGCATAAAACAAAGCAGCATTAAATTATAAGGAGCCATTAGGAGTCATTTGTCCGATTATTGGGTGTTGAAGTCAAGGAGTCGCTTGAGAAGGCCAAGCAGATGGAACATGAAGTGCTCCTACTTTTGGAGGCTCTTAAATAAACAAGGGAATATTTTGCTGAATACTCTGTTATATAGTCAATAAGCAATTCGTACAAGGTATATGCTATATATACATGAGCGAAGCTCCATTGCGTTAGCCTTCAAAGGCTAAATAATCATGATCCACTATTTGTGGGATCCGACTAATCTATTCTAGGAAACTAGATATATTACAATAATATATATAAGTTGGAGAAATTATAGAATAGGACTGCATCACCATGTCAACTTGTGATACTCCCATTCAAAATTTACCATGGGTCATTTTTATATTAAAAAAATATAAATTTTTACAGCTGGATTTAAAACTTCTTTTTTATATTCATAATAAAACTAAAGAAAAAATAAATCGAAAAATCATGAAATTCCAACTTGTTACATAATGTCACATATTGATCCTGCCCCAAAGCCAACTGGAAGTGTGTAGATACGTGCGATAGGCTAATTACTCCAGCTTGCAATTTTTCTCGAACTATGTGACAGTTTATTTCAATGTGCTTTGTACCATCATGAAAAACATGATTCGCCACAATATACAAAGCAACTTGATTATCACATTATAATGGTGCGGGAGCTAATTGTGGAACTCTTAAATCTTGCAATATGTATCACAACCAAGTTAACTCCAAGCATGTATTTAACATAGCTCGATATTCGGCTTTTGCTGATGATCTAGAAATATTGGCTTGTTTCTTGGATTTCCATGATATTAGAGAATTTCCAAAAAAAAAAAAAAAAACACAATAACCTGTAACTAACCTTCTTGTGGCACGACAACCACCCCAATTTGAATCACAAAATGCTCTTAAGGCAAGATTGTTGGTAGCAGAGAATAACAGACCTTAACCAAGAGTACCTTTGACATATTGGAGGATCCGTGTGGTAGCATCCCAATGTGGTTTTCGAGGCCTTAGTGTCCGAACAGAAGAAACTATATCATGTCTCGTGACATTAAGATAAATCAGTCTTCCGACCAATCTTCTGTACTTAGTTAGGTCATTCAACAATGCTCCATCTGTTGGGGTGAGCTTCAAGTTTTGTTCCATGGGAAACTTCGTTGGGCGTGCTATTGAGAGTCCTGAATCTTGTAGAATATCGAGTGCGTATTTTTTTTTAGACATGAAAATGCCTTTATTGGAATGTGAGAATTCAATGCCCAAAAAATATTTTAAATCACCCAGATCTTTGATGCGGAAGCATTTAAGAAGAAACGTTTTGAGACGAGGCCTCGAGGTGTTATGGCATTCTTTGGCCAAGTGGATGTTGAGCGGTAAGGCCCTTTCATTTTTGGTGCTTCTGGTTTCCTGTTCAAGGAGAACCAGTTGTTCTTATGGTCTCTCTATAACACTGGTGCTGTAAAGAGTCTTCTTGATCCTCTCTGTCAACACTGAGTGAGTTGGGCTTGAATTTATAATAGTTATTAATGAAATTCTGCTATAAAAAAAAAATGAAAAGTAACACTAGTCCAAGATTTATAAACTTCTTTAATTGTTTAGGACATAAGTCCATTCGCAATTGAGCGCCATGATCATTTCAGGAGCTCTACTTCTTTCATAAGCCAAGCATTATCGACCCCAAAAAAAAAAAAACCCATGCATTATTAATATTTGCCTAAAATACGAAGCAACTTTACTTAATATTCCCACATGTTTCTCGCATGTTTGAGAGAGACCCATGAGTAGATTTCCATCTTTCTTCAAGAAGTTCAGCAAAAGAAAAAAGACAAAGCAAAGGAAACCTAGGCTGCTGCAAAACGAAAATGCTGTAGCCTCTAACCTGCTATCGGGTACAAATCCAAACGGCATGGCATTTAATTGCAAAGGAAAGGCATAGGTAGGTCTACGGCATCCGGATTCGGCATACGGCAGAAAAAGGCACATATGTAGTTTTCTTATGGCTTTGTGGTGGCTTGAAGGTGCTGGTGCAGCAGCAGCAGCAGTTTTTATTTTTGGTTTTTCATGTTTATATGTATTATTTTTATAGGGTTGATTTATTTATTTTTAGTTTTATTATTATAGGCTTTGTGTTCTCTCTCAATTAGTTTCTGTTATTTTGCATGAGACTTGTCCAAGAAATGTACGTATGTCCTTAGGCTAGTGTCACCTTTTGCTTTGTAGCTGCAAATTTCAACAACCAGAAATATGATGGCTCTGTCATATCCGAGAAATGCATTATGCATCTGCCTAATTTTCCATCTATATGCACTCCTGAAATTATGGTGTACTTGTTAGAAATGCATCTGCGTAAGTTTCAATCCGTACGCACTCCTGATGATTCTACCACAATCTCGGAAACTCACATCACATCTCACACTCCTTATGGTATGGTCTTGAAGGCAACATTTTCAATTGGACCTGGATAATATAATATAGACAATTTCATGAGGAATGTGTGACATCACTACAGCTACGTAGGGATGAGTATATCAAGGATTTCTTCATATGTTGAAGGCAATAACTAAGGAAAGTTAATGAAGCCAACTAGGAAATTTACAGACACCTTCCCATTTGGATTTTATGTTAGATAAAATATTATTTTTCCGGTTCTTGTTCTTGTGCTAGCTCTCTCCTTCTCTGGCTCGGCATTGGTCTATTCCTTCTCTGGCTCGGCATTGGTCTATCGGTGATTTTCATTTTCTTTACATTTCTCATTCTTAGGATTCTGAGACTGTTAATAGCTTCTGGACAAAACAAAAGGACTCTATAAAAGCATATGATGCATAACTATGACTTTGTAATCCCAAAACGACTACTGAGCCCATAGCTACA